TTCGTTGATGGGCATTTGGGTTGTTTCCAAAATTTGGCTATTACAAACTGTGATGGTCTAAATATGGGTGCACATATATTGCTGTAGTACAATGTTTTTCATTCTTTTTGGAAGATACCAGTAAGAGAAATAGCTGGATCAAGTGGAATCTGTAGTCCTAAGTTTTTGAGGAATCTCCATACTGATTTCCACAGTGGGTGTACCAGTCTACACTCCCATCAACAGTGGAGAACTGTTTGTTCCCTGTTCCCCCAGCATTTGTTATTGGTTGTGTTGTTGATAATAGAGGCTTCTTCACCTGTATTCCTAAGATGAGAGAACAGAGTCACATCCCACCGATGCTCTGGCCAGAATCCCAGCTGTCATCCTTACTGTTCCTTTTTCCATATGCCCCAAAATCAACTCCTTGAGAATTTCCATAGGTGGTGCCCCCAAAGGTCTCTTAGATGTATCCATTTCTCCCATTGTCCACTGCTGTCTCCACAGCCACCCTGTTTCCTCTGGTTTTTTTGTTTGTTTGTTTTTTGTTTTTTGGTTTTTGGTTTTTCTCCGGTACCGAGAACCAAACTCACGACCTTGCACTTGCCAGGCAGGCGCTTTGCCGCTGAGCTGAATCCCCAGCCCCTCTCCTGTATTATTATACCTGTACCCTTATGTTCACTCTGCTTCATATTTTCCACAAAATACAGCACATTTCCCATACTCTAGGCACAACGATCTTTGAAACAACTGTTCCCTTCAAGAGTCCTTGCTCTTACTAAAATATAGTCCAAAAACCCCAATAAGTTTCTGGAGGGTCCTACTCCTTGCTTTGTCGTCTACGGTGGGGGCTGCGAGTGAACCCCCATAAGACAAACACAGTGACCAAAGTCCCTCACAGGAGCATGCAGGGTGATGCTCAGAGACAGAGATGAGCCATTATCAGTGTGTGTTTTGTTTTGTTAATTTATTTTAAAACTAAAAGAAGGAAAACATATTAACAAAGAGACATCCATTTACAAAACAGCATAAGAACAATACAAGCCATACTGAATTCAGTATGTGTTTTGTATTTACTCAACAAAGAGCACAAACTATTTACAAAAAGTCAAAGAGTTTGGGTCTGTGGGATTTTTAAAATGCATATACACTAATCAATGTTTTACAAATGAACCAGCAATTTTTTACAAATTAATCACCAAATCAGAAAATTCAGTGAGAGAAAGGATTCACAATTGTAAAAAATATAAAATCGTTAGGAGTACACTTTAAAGGGATGTGAGACATTAAAAATTTTACAGAATTTTACTAAGACAAAGAAAGACTTGAAATCCTGCTTCAAAGATGGCAAAGACATTATTACATTCAGCTTCCTCAAAGATCAGAAGAAGAGGAAAGAAGAGGGAGAAGGATGAACATAGAGGAAAAATCTGATCTTGAGTGGGCCAGTCCTACATCGTAACATATGAAGCCTACCTGCCAAATACTGTGAAACTTGGACCAACCCCTGGAAGGATGTGTAAGTCAATTTCCAGATAAAAATAGGATTCTAGGTAAAATCTGAATTTCACTTCACAGATGTATACTAAAATTTTATTCATTGTTTATCTGATATTCACACTTAAATGGTATCCTATTGTCTTCTCATTTTGTTTTTAAATCTGGCAACCTCAACTATAACCCAGTCCACATCTTTTCAAAACTAAGCAAGATTTTTTAAAAAGTCTAAAAAAGTATAGAAAAATGTAACTCAAAACCACCATAAAGCCAGGCGTGGTGGCACACGCCTGTAATTCCAGCACTCGGGAGGCTGAGGTGGGAGGATCACTGTGAGTTTGAGGCCAGCCTGGTTTACATAGTGAGTTCAAGGTCAGACTGAACTACATAGTGAGAGCCTGCTTCAAAAGCAGATGAAACAAAAAACCCACCATGAGATAGTGACTCATACATGTTAGGATGACTATTACAAAAAAGAGAAGAAAAGTGTTGGTAGGGATATAGAGAAAGGAACCCTTGTACATTGTTGATGGAAATGTAAATTAATACATATAGTCACTATGAAAAGTGGTACAGTTTCCTTGAGGATTAAAAAAGCAGTACTACTGTCCCTAGATCATATTCTAGGAATCCCACAATTGGGTATATATCCACAGGCAATGAAAGTACTATTTATTTTTTTCAGAGTTGTCGTTCAAATACCCATACATTCTAGGCAAGTAACCTGCCACTGAACTACATTTCCAGCTCTGACATCAGCATTTTGAGAGTTGTCTCCATCTCTATGTTCATGGCAACAATTCACAACAATTCATCTCTATGTTCAATGGCCAAGATATGAACCAACCTAAGCGTCCACCAGTGGATGGGTAGAGGAAAGAAACAGTAGTAAATATATTTAATGAAATAGTACTCACCTTAAAAAAAAAAAGAAATTCTGTCATTTGTCACACATATGAAGCTGGACAACATTATAGTTAGTGAAATAATCCAAACTCAGAAAGACAAATGCTGCATAATAACTCATATGTGGAATCATCTTGGAAAGTTGAATTCATAGAAGCAGAGACTAGAATGGTAGTTACTAGTGGGTGAGGGTGGGAAAATGGACAGATATTGGTCCAGGCAGCTCCAGAAAAATGGAAGACCCATCGACACTGTGTTCCCAGCTGCTTTTATAGGGGAGTGAGTGACCCTACACCCCACACCTGGAGCTTGTCTAAACTGGATTGGACTCCAGGCACCTCTGTCTAGTGTCATTTCTTCTGCTACATGTAGCTGCATTCTCTTTGCTTGTCCTTGACCTACCTTTGAAGGTCTTATCTTATTCATGCTTAGCTTAGCGGTAGTAAGGGGGCATGTGGATATCTGTTGTACTCTACAATGGCCCTACAGTGACTCTAGAGTGAGTACACACACACACACACACACACACACACACACACACATTAGTGCATAGTATGAGTACATACTGCCTTCACCCCTCTCTTTGTTTCCCCTACCTTTTATTGGAGCTGGGGGTGCCTTGTTGTTTGTGCGGTGTTGTGTTTGTGTGTTGTGTCAGCTGTTTTTCTTGTCTCTTGGTATAAGTCTCAAGACTACTTGGTGCCTTTTTTTTAATCTGATTTTTCTCTTTTTCTACCCCCATCCTTGACTTGCTTCCCAGCGGAATCTCTCAAGTACAGTTTGTTTTAAACTTGACTTAATGAGGCCCCTATTCTTTTCTTTTTTTGCTCCACAGACCACAGCCCTTACATGTGTGTATGTGTATTCTTCCTGATTCTCAGGCAAAAACAGCCCATTATAAATAATTGTTCTCCACTTTGCCTGTTTTGTATTCTCAATTAAACTATTTTGAAAATCATTCCATATCAATAGCCACAGATTTCTGTTTTTAATGGCTTCATAGTATTCTGTATTATCTACATAGTATGACTTGCTTCATTCTTTTCTTCCTGGTAAACATGTAGGTTATTTTCAGTTCTTTATCACTCGATACAATGAACACCTTTGTGTGATGTGACGTACATTTCTGGTAACCTTGTAGAATTCTTTCCTATAAATGAAATAGCTGGATTAAAGGTCTGTATCACTTCTGAGAAGCAATAGGGCTTGGAGCACCGTGTCCCTGAGGCCCTCTTTTGCATTCTCAAGACTCTTGCCAAACCAAGGGGATATTGTAAGTGGACAGGAGCCAGCCTGTCCAGATAAGTTTGCCTGAAGGACTCTGGCAACTGGGCAAACTAGTTTTATCTGTAGAAGTGGCCTTCCCTTCCATATGTTACGTTAGCTGTTACTTAGAATGCTAGTCATCCAATGGACTAGAACAAGCATATGATGTCACTGCTTTGTTGCCTAGTTTATTAGAGTCCCTCTCTGGGGTGGCCAGGTGCAGAACAGAGCACTGTGAAGAGAAGTGATACAGTCCAGCCAGCCACTACTGGACACTGTAAGTATTTTCTGGCAAATGTTTGTCTAGCAGTTACTCTTCAACCCTGTGAGAGGTGCTGTTGTTAAATACACACTTCACAGACTGTCCAGAGAGGCGGAGAAAGGGTGATCTGAGATCAGCACCATCCAGCCATTCCAACTCCCCTCGTGGTCTCACTAGGCAGGGATCCCCGCATCGAAAGCCAGGGCTGAGCGCTACCCTGGGAACCTTGGCAGGAGACAATGAGGACCCAGCCCCTACTCCGGCTCTGTTGGGCGGGGGCATGGTCACCGGCCTATGTGAACAAAGACCATTCATGTCTCCTGTCATTCTATCCAGGGAGACAGGTCCCAAGAACAAGGTGCCAGCGGATGAAAAGAAAAGTAAGAAAGACAAGAAAAACAAGAAAGGCAAAAGTCTGGGATCAGGGGGCTTACAGCCTCTCGGACTGCAGCCCCGATTACCAATCTCAGTCACCTTTTATTGAGTGAGAACTAAGGGTGTAGCTAGTACAAATGGGTGGGTACCAAACATTTTAGTAATTAAAGGATAATCCTTCTCCAATTCTGCCTCTTATGCTGCTGGCAACAGTCCCCAGGTGGGCCTCCTACACCCAGCACCATGCTTACTCAGTTCAGCTGGGGGTTATAAGTTGACCACCAGTTATCAATCCACTACAATCACAGTCCTTACTGCCCATTAATTTTTACAATGCATGGCAAGACCAAAAAAATAAGGATCTCCTGCAATTCAAATACACTCTTATCTTCAGGTGAAAGGTTTCTGTTCATTTTTGCAACAATAAACAAATCATTGTGTGTCCTCAGTGCTTTCTAAGCAAAGAATGTCCTTCTCCACAGTCTCCCAGCTGGGGGCAACAGGAAGTGGGTCCCCAAAGGCAAAGAACACACATGGGAGTCCCACACAAGGGAAGGAGGGGAAGAAAGCTTCAGAGAAGGTAACACTATGAAGTAAGTACCAGCTGTACCTCATCTGCTAGCTTCTCATTAAGGACATCCAGTGGGATGCGAATTTATGTGTCACCTGATTAGGCCAGGGTACCTAGGTATGTGCTCAAACACCAGTCTGGATATAACTATGGCAGTTTGTTTTACTTGGAATTATATTCAATCAATAGACTTTGACTGAAGCAGATTACTCCCCATACTGTGGGTGTGCCTCAAACCATCAGTTAAAGGTTTTAAAAGAAAACAGCCCAGGGTCCTGATGAAAGGAAATTCTGCCTCCAGACTGCCTTCTGCCTCTGCCTCTGCCTACAGCATCCAGGTCTCTGGGCTATCCGCCTGCCCTACAGGTTTTGGATTTTTCAGCCTCCACAATCGCTACATATTCATCCAATAATCATGATTAGTACATCTGGCTTCGAAGAGGAAAATTCTGGCATTGCAGACCCCTATGGATGAGGCCTCCTCTGACTGTGTCCTGCTGTGCTTCCCGGCCAGGGCTGACACAGCTTTTCCTGCTTATGACTAGCTGTTCTTCTACACAGTGGCCACTCTCTTGGTCCTGGAGCTTCCCAGAAGAACAAGTCCAGAAGAAGGAACTTGAAAGAAAAAAACAGTGGTCCTTTTCACAGATTACTACTGAATTTCTGAACAGTTCACTCCAGAGAAGTTTCATCCATCCAGGGTAAATTTCAGTACCATGTTGCTTGAAAGGACGAGGCACTGTCTCCGAGCTTCCCCTCTAGATATCCCAAACACATAGTTATGAGACCGATTCTATCTCCATTGTCTAATTAGTCCACATTCCACAAAATCCATGGCTCATTTCTCATTTACCCCAAAATGAGAGCAGCAGTCTAACTTCTCAAACAAGGAGATTTTAACAGGAAGGGTGATGTTAACAATGGAGCAGATACAGTGCCTGATCTCATCTTCAGTCATATGTGTCCAAGAGATGTGGGCTGGGGCTGGCTTCATGCTCCCTTCCCTGCAAGAAAACAATGAGCTGGTGGGCATCTCTGAGAGCTCTGCCTCTACTCAAAGGAGCTCTGCCCCTTGCTAGTTTGGTTCAATCATTTTCTTCAAAGGGTCTAGAATGTTGGAATGATTAGCTGGAGCGCTGAATGCAAAAGAAAATCCATTAATGTTGGGAGTCGCAAACAGACGTGAGATTACATGTACCTCTCACCACAGAACTGGGGAACCAGGTGGGAATTTGCATTTTCTTCTTATGTGAGACTTTTGAAGGAAGCAAAGCCCCTTCCAGCTGCAGGTCTATGAAGTGACAATGGACCAGAAGAAGTCTCAGAGCCCCTGGTGTCATGTTGTGGGAGCAGGAACCAGGGAGCTGTTCCACACTGACCTAGAACCATAGCAACATCCTGACAGAAATGTTCTTTTCCTTCTACTGGAGGGTCTCTCTCACTGGACAGGCAGTGATTAGCATCAAGAGTACATGTTCTCATTTTGGCTGATTCTGCAGCCCCGCAGGCCCTCTCTGAGGCCTGTTCACCCAAAGGACAATACCAAGCATGCTCAGTAGAAGGGGAAGCTTCAAGAAGACCAGGAGCAGGAAGTAGGTGTTGCTCAGCAGGGATCTGTGGAGGACACACAAACAGGAATGAGCTGCCTCCGGGGCAGAAGTCTCAGGTCTTTCAGCCCTCCCTTTGCCCAGATTATGGCTTCCCATAGCCCAGTGAGGGCACGCCCAGGGCCCAGCCAAGATGGCCCCCTTAGCGGGCACAGCCATGCTGCCCATATGCTAGGCTTTAGGTGCTGCATACCACAGCAGAGTTGGCCTTCCAGTCACCTCTCTTTCAAGTACCATCTCATCCTCTGTGTTCAGCTGCTCCCCACATTTCCCCTTCATCTAGTCTTCATTTTACATAGACCAATGGCTTCTCTGTCTTTTTTTTTTTTGTCTTATCTTCTTCTATACCCTTCATCAGGATGGCCCTCCCCACCCATAGCGCTACCCTTGACACATCTGATGTCACATCTGTGAAGGTTTCTGGGACACCACATCTAGAAAGAGTTTACCTCTATCCGTCCCACTGTCCGCTGGACTGATCCCTGACCCTCCAGTCTTTTGTGCTCCCCTGTTACTTCCTATGGATCTAGAAAGCCAGGTACCTACTGTCCCTGGATCCCTCACCTCCTCACCATACTGGGCACCATCTCCAGCTCTCGAACTTTCCTCCTGGACCGTCCTTGTTGTCTCTCTCAGCTCAACAAGAAGCCACCCTCAGCCCGTGGATAGATGTGAAAACTACAAAGCATATCTAACTCCAGAATACTGAGTGAGCCATAGAACACTGGATGCATTCTTGGAAATGTTTTTCTATGTCCTTGAGGCGCTGTGCTCTTTTTTCATGCTCTGAACACTCTGGAGTCTCACTTTCCCTCTCTCAATGACTGAAACCCCATCTGTTTGCACAAATGCATTTCCAAAACACTGAGGAAGATTTTTTGTAAGTTACAGGGAAAAAAACATCAAAGAAAGAGTCCTCAAGCCAGCCCCAAGAGTTCTTCAGGCACAGCTGCCCAATTCAAATCAACAGGAAGAGAACCAGACAAGACCAGAGAGACCGTTCTGACAAGAAGTAGATGGAGAGTTGGACCTCTGCCTCTGCCCTAGAGGTAACAGAGAGGTCTGTAACTGAGCTCTGGCCTTGACCTGGGGCTTGGCCATAGCAGGCTAACATGGGATTAAGGCAGGTTAGCGGAGGGGCACTGACATTTAGGAATTTCCTTACCCCTTCAAAGGTGATAAGCATCATACTTGTATATGGCTCTACCACATCAGGAGAGTGAGACAGCCAACTCTGTTTCTTGTCATTTCCTACACCCCCACTTTGGCACTTGGGGAGAAGTGGCTGGAATCTTGAGATTTGTTTTTGGGCAGGATCAGAGGCCCATGAAAGAGGAGTGTCTTCTAACCCATTAAAACCCAATCTGTGATACTGTCTTGCCCTGGGAGATGTGTAGGCAACAGAACAAAGGCCCATATCCATGCTTTTCTTCTACCAGCCAGATGAAGATTTTGTCTTTGTGTAGCAGAGACTTAGATGGGAATTCTTCTACTCACAGGTAAACAGAGGGTGAGGAAGCCCACCTGTCTTTTCAGGGACTCTATTGACATGAGGATACATCAGAGAGGCTGTACTGTGGTGGGGGGATGTCCAGATAGATATACCCACATGACAGTGTTACTACATTTAGAAAATAGAAGTAAAGGGTGCTCAGGTAAATTTAATATCCATAAAAATACCATATACTTTTTAAAAGTATAAGTATATCCCAAGAAATAATTGGGATATACTCATGCTAAAACATTATTTGCTTTTTGTCTGAATTCCAGGATTCTTGAGAATCCTGGCATGGTATCTGCCAACCCTCCCAAAGGAGATGCTATGGGGTTGCACCGGTGGGAAGGGGCTGCAGGGCCCTGGTCAGCTTACCGAGTAGGGGCGCTGGTGCCAGTCTCTAGCTGAGTAGAGTTGCTGGTGGTAGTCACTAGCTGGTATTTGATGGTCTTAGTGGTTGATGGCGCCAAAGTTGGACTTGGCCTTACTGAGGATAAACTTTCTTCGTGTAAATCTATAAAGGAGAACATAGTTCACTTTCTACATGGACAGTTCAGGTCTGGGTGATGCCAAAGGGTTCTCCTTTGGTGCCTAAGACTCACTAATAATCATCTAAAACATAATGTGGATTCTTTTGAAAAGAAAAAGTATTCAACAGTGTGAAAAATTCTGAGGAGCCAACCAAGGAGGCAATTTACAATAAGTAGTTACTTCTGCTTGGCACCATTCAACATACTTGGTGGCAGTTCAGTTTTTAGACCAGGCTACTTCCTTTGAGTCTCTGCTATGATTGAAACTCACTTCCTGCCACCTTGTGAAGTAATGTCAACCACTGACCTGGCTACACTTTCCTGAACCTCCTCTGGTGAGCCCAGGCTTGCTGGCAGCACCAGCTGGACACTGGGAAGGCTGGGCCAAGAGTCACCTTTCTTTTTTATCCTTTCCTGTCTTCCAATAGCTTCATGGTCACAACATCCCCTCCCCAGTCTGTAAATCCTGGTGCTGCTTCCCCTGCACTATGGTTTATTTTGAGACAGATACTTGTTAAATTGCCAAGTTGCCCAGGCTGGAACCAAATTTATGATCCCACTGCCTCAACTTCCCAAACTTATTACCACCACACTCAGCTAATGTTTTGTCCTGTTTTCACTCTATACTTCATTATGGACAGTTTCTATTGAAATCTCTTACAATTCACTAATATCATTGTCTTGGTTACTTTTCTCTCCTTGCTGAGACAAAATACCTGATGCCTAAAATTAAAGAAGGAAAGGTTTATTTAGCTCACAGTTTGAAGAGGTTTCAGTCCATACGTGGCTGGATCCAAGGCAGGCTGGCATGGCAGAGGGGCAAGAGTTTATGGCAGCGGAAGACAGCAAAAGCAACAAGAGCAAAAAGGGAGGAGTAGGAGAGAAGAGCAAGCCTCTTCCCCTCCCTTATATTGTATGCAGACTACCTGCCCCAGGGTGGGTGGAGCACTCACACCCATGATCCCCACACTGGAAAATGAATCAATCACAAACTCTAGAAGCCCACCCCATGACTGCACGAGGCTTTGAGGGGACAGCTAGACACAAACCATGACAATCATATTTCACAAGTTTTAGTATGCCATTAATCTTGTCAAGTGGTTTTTTTATTATTATTTTAGGCACTGTAATTTTCAGCTTTTAAAAATTCAGCTTGAGTTTTTTTATATTTTCCATATTACCACTTAATTTTTCAGACATGTCAAGTATAGTTATCATACTGTCTCACTTTCCTTTTCTACTAATGCTAGCATCTGTGTTAGTTCTGGATTGGTTTCAATTGATTATTTTCATCATAAAAGGTGTTCTCTACTTTGTTATCTTATCATATCTCATAATCTATTATTATTATTACATATATTGACTTTCACCATGCTGGTGTCAGACTTTTCTTCCTATAAATCTTGAGTTTTGTGCAGGCATGCAGTGAAATTACTTGGAAAGTTTTGGATTCTTTCAAAACTGTCTTTGAAGATTTGTAAGGCCATGTCAAAGTAGCCTTTGCTCTAGAACCAATTATTCATCACTATAGGGGGTGGATGTTTACAAATAGTGTGCCTAACATTCAACAAATTATGACTTTGGCCAGTTGGGTTCATGAGGACAGACATAATTCCTGGCTCTATGGGACAGCCATTCTTTCTGATCGTTTTTTGGTTATTCTCTGTCCTACCTCAGGTAGTTGTCTTATACACAAGAAGTGATCAGTTTTCTCTTGATTAACCGTGGAGGTCAGCTATAGACCTCCAGATTCTCATTCTCTACAACTCTCTTCTCTCTGGTACTCTGTCCTACAAATTCTAACCAGCTTCACCTCCCCAGATTCTAAGTAATATCTCTTCAATTGAAGAAGTCAGTAGGGGCCACCTGGATTCCCCCTCTCTGGGTTTCAACCAAGAAAATCTCTCAAGAAAGTAAGCGTTATTTGTTGTCTGGTATACAATGTATTTAAAATCTAAGTTTCTTATATTTTTTCTATTGTATTTATTGTTGTCATTTAAGTCAGATGAGAAATCAGATCCCTGTTACTGTTTGTTGCCCAGAAACAGGTTTCATAATTTACTTTGTGTAAAAATACTTTACATACATGAAAATATTCTCGATACAATTCTGTGTGAGATAGAGTGTGTTTGTGTGTCATTCCTCTCCTCCATCTCCCACCTTTTAGAAGACAGGACTGGGATCTCAGAGAGAAGACCTCAACCCTCAGGACTCAACCCCACTCTGTAATAAGTCACTCTGGTTACACTTAATTTACTTATGTGGGACCTCAGGGACACAAATACACATACACATGTTTACCTGGAACAACAGTCACTTTAACTTTGAGCCCAGGGTCAGTTCCTAATCTTTCAAACCCACACCAGTAACTATCAGCATCATCTCTCCTGAGATCCTCCAAGGTTACCCTGAACACGAGCTCTTTCTGGTAGTCCCTGATGGACAAACGCTCCTTCTTCTGCTCCTTCTCTGATCCATCGGTTTGAATCTGGATCTTGCAGCTACTCCAGGCAGCTCCTCGACACCACCACTTCCGAGAGGTCTTCCACTTTGAGGTATAACGACACTGCACGGTCAGTGAGCCCCGCTCCTGGCCACTCACTGCATTGGGACCAGTGATATCTTTCTGGGCAGCAGAGAAGCCTGGAAAACACAAATCCATGAATCTGTCACCTCCCACCCCAAGGGCAGGGCCACAGCATCCTGCACTAGGAAGAGCTTCTAAATCCAAGTGTGTCCTAAGTTAAACAATGGTTAAGGCAGGAAGATTATATGTTCTCCAAAGCAGACACCTGTTGTTCTTCAGCATTCCACTGGGTCAAAGGCTGCAGAAAAATCAGTGAAGAGAATAACTACAGCTCTCAAAAGGAAAAAAATGGTGATGTAGTATTAATAGCTGCCTGTCATTTACCCCTTCCCTTCCTATGATCAGTAAATAATGTATATCAAGAAGTGTGTTATCTTGTTTCATTTTTTGCTTTTGGTACAGAGGATTGAACGCAGGACTTCACACTTACCAGGCAGGCACTGTGCCACTGAGCTGACTAAAAGAGTGATGCCATCTAGTAACCATGTGCTGTGGGCCTCAGTGTGCAGACCCATTTTCTCCATAAATGGTTCCAAATTTGACTTCTAAAATTCCCTGTAAAAGCTAACTTTTAAGATAAAAGGTAGTACACAAGGAGAAGCACTCATTCAATGCCCACTTGAGTTTTGTAGATTTAACTAAACCTAATGCAGATGAATCAAGCCATCATCAAAGGGTGAGGAGCACTTCACATGCTACCTCTGCTCTGCAACAGCATCACAACATTAATCCCCACATTATTTTCGGCCTTATCTTTTGCTTGAAGAAACTCAGAACAATGGACATATCTTAAATCAGACCTCTGAAACAAAACGTTAAATTCAATTTAATAGAGACTCATTAATGATACCAATAGATTTCAATGATTTATATATGGGTAACAATAGCTCTGACTGCTTGAGGATAAGTGGGAGGTGTAACTAGCACACTGGAGCATGTGAAGGAGTTCTGGGAGTATGATGTTTTCTAAGGTCTGCCTGCCTAATGTCCTTGCCTTCTTTCCAACCCTATTTTTAAAAAGCCCACTTCTCTTTCCTACCTACAGACAGCCTTTTTGCCCTCTGTTTGCCTGCACCCAGGCACGATAAATTCCACCCCACGATGACTTAACACAAGCCTGGTGGTCTTGGCTGGTCTCTGCCTCCTGCCCACAATACCACCATAATGATTATCCATGCTTCCACAATCCTAGAAGAAGTTCACAGTAAAATAACAAAAGCTTAGGAGGCTGCCATGCCTGAGGCAGCAGAGCATCAATTCCAGTGAGAGACCGAATGGGAGGCACATAGGCTCAAAAGTGTCTGGCACTTTAACTACAAGAAGCCTGAGTTACTGAGTCTCTTTTTTTCCATTTTCCTTTTGCCTGTTCTCAGTGCTACCATCCCATGATCTTCAATAAATGTAGCTACTTACTACATACTAGGAAGTGTGTGTTTGACAGTTCTCTTCTCATTATACACAAGAACCTGAATTTGTCTTGGTCTGCTCAACTGTAACAAGTCCATTCCCAAAAGAAATGAAATCAGTATGTCGAAGAGACATCTGCACTCATGTTTTACAGCAGCACTCTCCAAAACAGGCACAATTTAGAACAACATGGGTGGAACAGGAAGACATTCTGCTATGTGAACTGAGTCAGATATAGAAAGATAAATACTACATGTTTACACTTATATTTGAGACCTAAAATGTTGATCTCAAAAAGGTAAAGAATTATATGTACCAGAGCCTGGAAAAGGTAGGGGAGATGGAATGAGAGAGAGAGAGAGAGAGAGAGAGAGAGAGAGAGAGAGAGAGAGAGAGAGAGAGAGAGAGAGAGAGAGAAAACGGCAGTTGGGCAGGAGGAAGAACTTGTAATGTTCTATAGCAGTTGACAACAAAGTTGACCCAAAAAACCCCAAATATTTCAAATCACTACAGCAATGTTCAGCCTCACCAATCATCAGGGATATGCAAATCAAAACCACAAAAAGCTATTGTTTACCTATTTGCTAAATAGCAAATATAATTTAAGTGTTTCTAACACAAGATATATGTCTGCCAATTTTGTATGTAGGTATATGCAGGATAGTCAACATGGCTGTTCTACTGTCTTGTATTTCTTTGATGAAAGAAACTGTCAATGAGTCCTTGGTTGATCAGCATTGCATGTCTATATCTGTTTTCACAAGAAACCACTTTGAAGATATCAATATGTAATACAACAAGCATTGTTAATTCCCTACCACTTTGTTTGTAACTCCATACTGTCTGTACTGTTCCTTTCCTATTTTGTAAAATGTTGTCTGTCTGTTAATGTTTTCCTCCTTTTATTTTTAAAATAAAAAAAAAACAAGATACATGTCTGCCAAGATAGATATGCCAATTATCCTTATCTGACTGACTATATTCATGTAATAAAATCTCACAACATATTCTATACATATGTATAAGTACTATGTTTAAATTAAAATAAAAAATCTTTAAAAGAATAGATTTGTTTATTAATTCATTCAATTATTCATTCATTTGTTTCTCTGGAACAGCCAGGGTTGAGAAATACACCTCTGAAAGGAGGTGTTGTTTTGTTTGTTTGTTGCATCTGTAGCACCTAATGTAGAACCCATTAGCACAGTTAGAAACAAAGGAGCTGAGACAGTCCATCCTGTCCTCTATTTAACTGTAAACAGCACCCTACAGTTATTCCTGCTTCCCTTATCCTAAGGGAGATTTCAAAACATAACAAAAGCCTAGGAGATCGCCAGGCCGTTGGTGCCTGAGTGGCTTCCTTTTTTTCTCCTTTCCTTTGCTGTTGCTATCTTCTGATCTTCCATAAAAGTAGCTACTTACTACTTACTATTGGGTGTACTCTTGGCAATTCTTTCCTCATAGTACATGAGAACCTGAACTATCAGTGGCCCATTAAACTGTAACACCATCAAGTAACAAAAACTTGTGAATGAACTGGCTCTGCTGTTTCCCCTACTATACCTCCTTCCCCCGGGAAAGGCCCCAGATGCCCAGCCTCTGGCTTTCCAGTGTCTTAAAGTCCCAGCCCCACTCACCTGGGAGGAGCAGGAGGAGCAGAGCTGGGAACAGCCACGGGGTCATGTCGCAGTTATTTCAGAACTCAATGCTGTTTGGAAATGTGAAGCGCAGCTCTGAAAAGAATGCACCAAGCTTGCTTGCATCTCCTTCGGGTTTCTCTCTCATTCACTTCCTCTGTGTGTGCAAGAATTTCCCAATTTTACATATTAGGGGAAAAGAGATGTTGTGTTTTTTTTTTTTTTTAGAAGACTGCGTCATCGTAGTATAAGCTGTGTTGAAACTTCTGTGTTTGCGGGAAAGCAAAAGAGTCCAGGCCTGATAAGGTTTGCACATGAGAGAAAATGCATGCAGAGGTAGAGTGGACGTGGGAGAGGAGAGGAGAGAAGGTAAAGGGCAGGAAGAGGGAGGACCCAGCAATTGTTAATTCACAGTTTCTGCTGACAAAGAGAAGACACCGCTGGCAATGAGCAGCAACAGGAAGAGGTGCAGATGCAAACACACTGGCTTCACAGTCTGGGGCATATACCTCATGCGGGGCTCAGACCAGTGGTGTGGCTGTGAGATAAATCAGGATGTGGGCTGTTAATTATAAAATTCAAGGGCATATACACAGAACAGTTCCCAAAGCCCTTCACATGGACTTCTTTCGAGAACTGGAGCAGGTTTTCCATAGATTATTATAGATAGCGAAGTTAAGTAGGAATATTATAGGCAGCCAGATACTGCTGGACCCTCAAGAGAGTCAGGACAAAAGGTGGAGACCCACTACTGTGTCCAGAGATGCATCAGTTGGAGGCAAGGCCTCAAGATAACAACAAAAAGACCAGGCCTACCAACTCCCCAAGAGATAAGTGACAATACCTGGTCTAATAACAACAGGCATCAGTCACCTCAGTGGGCAGCCAAGACCCTTGGATCCATCACCTACCTGAGAAGTTCTTTGCTCCTTCCATGCTCCTTCACTAAGTGGCTTGGTTTCCCATTGGATCAATATTACCTAAGCAGCTATACTTACAATCTTATTGGTTGGTCATAGCTGTAACCCACATTGTAGCCACATTGCTAAGCTCTGTCAAACTTCCCCTAAGAAATGGAGTCTGGGACAACCCACTTTCCAGGTATCCCTTCCTCTCCCTCACAGTCATGAGCTTTCTATTGTTCAATAAATATTTCCTACTCTTCACCTCTGTTGTTCCTAGAATTCATTCTTCAATTTTAGAGATCATGAATTAGGTGTATCAGACATCTAACAGTTATAGTACTTCCTTTATATCACATTTGGAGGTTCTGATATCATCCCTGTATCAGGAAGGCCTAGACCACTTGTCAGGCTGAGGAGTGGGTGAAACAAAAAGGACTGCCCACATTGAGTTTTTGCCACTATGTTCTCTCTTGCATGGTGGCCTGCCCTCATACTGTAGGGTGTACTTTTTTTCCTGCTCTTACTTCACCTAAACTTGCTCAGCAAAGCCTCTTTTCCCACCTTTATTAAAACTTTATGACCATTTGTGCTTGTCTTGACCAATTCTTTGCTCAGGACAGGACAAACCTAGAAACCACCTCCATCAGGAGATTCCAGTACCCCAAAACTGAGTACCAGCTAGAAAACAATCTCTGCCTAAACTCCTGCTGGGTGGCCCCTCCACCCTTCCTCCTACCTGTCCTATGCCTGAGCTTGACCCATTGTTGGTCTATAGCACAGGTCTGCTGTAGTGTATGAGAAAGGACAAGTTGCATTTTCCCTCTGGACTCACTCTGCCTATGTGGTTTCTCTCATATCTTTGCACATTTCCTCTTGGTTATCAACAGTTCACCAACTCAATGCATCAAACCTACTTATTCTATTTAAAACAGGTAAGTGGTGGGGAGATGAACCCTGAGTCCTTAGCAAATGTGTGGTTGGTTTTAGGTTTCACTTTCTTAAGGCTTAGGCACATTTCTCTGAAAAGAGGACACAATAATGTTCTAGGCAGAGGGAGTTCACTAGGCAGGACAGGCAGAAAAGCCAAGCCCAGAGGGAGCCAGGATGACCCAGTGAAGGACAACATAAAATGAAGTCTGGGACTGAGAGCCAACAAAAAGTCAGGACTCAAGATGGGGAGCTGATGGCCAAGGCCAGGGCTTTGATGCCCTGATAAACAAGAACCCCAGGTTAAACTAGTACGATCCTCCTGTCCAGGAATGTGATAAAAACATGGTGATAAATAAACAGTAGCACCAAGTCTCTGTTCATTCCCCTCTCAAGAGTGCCTCTGTTCTGCTTGTGCTGATAGTTTTAGAAAAGTTATAACAATGGTGTTTGCAAAAGTACACTTGTGGGGCCAGAGATATAGCTCAGGGGCACAGCACCTGCCTGGCAAGCACAAGGTCATGAGTTCGATTCCCAGTACAAAAAAAAAAAAAACTACACTTGTTACTGAGTTCCTAAAGACCCTTCTCTAAATCAAACACTCCTGTTTGTAACCCTATGGGCTGTCCTCAACTTGGTCCGAGATGTAGTCATTTTTTAGTACAAAAACTCATAGATAAAGAGACTCCGTGGTAATATGCTTGGGTCCCCTCGCAGTCTTGGGAGCTTTCTGCTTTTGCTCACTGTACAATAAATGCTTCTGCTCGTTTCTCTCTTGACTCTCTGCCTTGTCATTCTTTCTGTGTTGAGAGAAGAACCTATTGGATGGTAACATTATTAACTGCCAGAGTGACTTTCCAGTCTCTGCCCACTTCCTTCAGAGGGTCTCTTTCCTGTTTCTCTATCCTATGCTCTCTCCCTCCTACTCCCTGGGTCCATTCTTTCTGTCTCTTCTTTTCTCTTTCATATTTTCCACAAGTTTTTAATTTTTTTAATGTTTATTAGTACACATTTGCAGTGCATAATGATTATTGTGAGGGGTTAATACATGTACAGAACACATCTTAATTCTTTTTACTTCCAGTTCCCCTTCTCTCCCTGCTCTCCTTTTTGTATCTCTTGGTCCCCCTTCCCACTTGCAAAATATGTCTCCCTATTTCGTATCATCTATCTTTCATTTTTGCCTTTAAATTATTTGTACTGGCTGGGCATGGTGTCACACACCTGTAATCCCAGCACTCGGGAGGCTGAGGCAGGAGGATTGTTGCAGAGTTCAAGGCCAGCCTGGGCTACAAAGTGAACTCAAAGCCAGCCTGAATTCATAGCAAGATCCTGTATCAAAAAAATACAAAAAAATTTTTTAAAAAAGAAAAATAAATAAAGTATTTATATTTTGGGTTTCTCATGGTAAGAGAAACTATGTGCTATTTGAGCTTGTGTGTCTAATTTACAACTGTGATCTCCAGATACACTCACTTTTCTATAAATTTGGGATCCAAATTTATTTCTCCTTATGACAGAGTAATATTACGTTGTGTAAAAATACTACATTTTCCTTACCTCTTCATTTGCTATTGATGAACATATGGGCCCCTTTCAAGATGTAGCTATTGTGAGTTGTACTACTACAAACATGGGTATGCATATTTAATATGATGTCTTCAGCCGTTTGGGGAGGACACATAAAAAGAGAATAGTTAAGTTGAACAAAATTTATAGTTTTAGTTTTCTGAGAAATCTCCCAACTGATTTTCCTGTTTAGTTTTTTGAGAAATCTCCCTACTAATTTCTGTACACCAGTGGCTGCACTAGTTTACATTCGCACCAACAATGTAGAAATGTTCCTTTTTCCCCCACAGACTTGCCAACATTTGTTATTGTTTTCTTTTGGGTTTGTTGTTGTTTTGAGGCAGGGTCTCACTGTTTAGTGCAGGCTGACCTTGAACTCAGTATGTAGCCCAGTCTGGCTTTGAACTTGCAAAGGTGCTCCTGCCACAGCCTCCCAAGTGCTGGGATTACAAGCACGTGCCACCACTCCCAGCTTGTTATTGTTTTCTTGATGAACGCCATTCTTTCTGGAGTAATACACAATCTCATGTTGTTCTAATTTGCACTTCTCTCATAGTCAGAGATGTTGAACATTTTTCATGCACTTATTGTCCATTTGTACTTCTTCTCCTGAGAAGTATCTACTCATTTCAGTTGATAATTTTCTAGTTGACTCTTATTTGGAGAAATCTTTTTTTTTTTTTTCAGTTCTTTATATAGTCTAGGTATTAGTTTTCTGTTGAGGAGTAGCTAGCAAAATTTTTCTCCAACGCTATAGCTTGTCTCTTCACTCTGTTGGTTGTTTCCTTTGATGTCCAGAAGCTTTTTAATTTGATATGATCACATTTGTTGATTCTTTATTTCTTTTAAAGTTGGAATTTGGTTCACAATGTTCTTTACTGTGCATATGACTTTTGGAGTTTTGCCTATTTTATCTTACAGCAGATTCAGTGTTTTTGTTTTAATAGTTAAGCCTTTGATTCATTTTAATTTTATTTTAGTACATGGTGAGAAATTTGGGTCTACAGTCAATCTTCTGCCCGTGTATAGTAAATTTTCCTGGCATCATTTATTGAAGAGGCTATTTTTCCACATGTTTTTGACCTCTTTGTCAAAGACCAGATGGCTGAATGTAGCTGGGATTATTTCTGCTTCCTTTATTCTTTTCCATTGATCTGCATGTCTTTTTGGTGTGTGTCAGTAAAATGCTCTTTTTTATCACCATGGCTTTGCAACATAATTGAGCTGGACATGGAAGTGCACCCCTGATATCCCAGTACTCAGGAGGCTGAGGCAGGAGGATTGCCATGAGTTTGAGACTAGCCTGGGCTACACGAGTAAGCTCAAGTGCAGTCTGTAATACATAATGAAATCCTGTCACACAAATAAATAAGTAAATAAATAAAAATAATATAACTTGAAATCTGAGATTGGGATGTCTCCTGCTTTGTTCTTGTTGCCAGGATTGGTTTTGGTCTCTTCTGGTACCATATGAAATGCAGGATTTTTTGTTTTTTTCTGTATGGAATGCTGCTGGTAATTTGATTGGGATTGTAATTATATCTGTATTCAGTTTTGGAAGTAGGTCACTTTGACTGTATTGGTTCTGCCTATTCAGAAACAAGGGATATATTTCCATTTTCTGGTAATGCTCTTTGGTCTCCTCTTTCAAAGTTCTACAGTTTTAGGCTTTTGTTAAGTAGGTCTTTCATTTACTTTGCTAAGTTAATTCCTAAGTATTTAATGTTCCTCAAAGCGGTGGTGAATAATTTTC